AACTGCTTTCGAATGTCTCTGTGCGAAACTCCTTCCTGCCAGTGCAATGTTAACTTTAATTGCGGTGTTGCCTACCAAATTTTATTGGAAGATAATAAATAATATTTAGGCAATGCAGTGACACATGTCATACGGGCATAACGTAGGTTTTGATTTCATCGCTAGCGCCACTTTTATATTAGTATGATAAACATTCCACATGTACTTCTATACCCAGTCAGTGGCAATCAAACGTTACTTGACGCCGGAGCAATACATTAATTATAGTTGCATATGATATTCACAGCATCGTTTGCAATAATGTGACACTCGTACGTAGAATTCACTAGCGTAGTGCTCCAGGGCCCTACAACGCAAAACGTGAATTGCACTGTAGCGTGCGGTTTGGCTCAATAAAATAATCTCTGTGCTCCGACAGTAGTTCTGACGTTACGTCAGACAATAAGCTACCCTTCAAACGTCAGTGTATACGGCGTACCTTGTAAGCGGACTATATGCCAGAACTACTTTATTTACAATAACACCTCAATTCACATCTTAACGATTCGCTCAAAGGGAAAAAATTATGGCAGCATATACGGCTTTTCGCCGACTGCTTTGCATAAAGCGAAGTCCGACAATGTGATGGATCCGCCAATATTTTCTTTGTTGTTGCTCTTATGAACAGTCATTTACTTTTGTCGGCCGTAAATGCCCTCATATGCCAATGTTTACCAATGACATGTGAAAAAAAATGACTACGGGAGCACGAAGACCTTAAGTGGCTATAGACGGATGTATGGTTTAATGAGTGAATGAATTGACGCCGTCACTATGTTCGTCCATCACCGACAAACGTTTCGCCTTCAGGACGAAACGTGTATTGGATACGCGGGATCACAACGCCCCACTTCTACTTACCTTCGAGAACACAAAACCGCTATATCATGCATATGCAATGCCGTACACACATCCGAATTCGCTCTCACCCCTTCCCCCCTCATTCCTTTCTGTTTTGTGTTCTTTCTACAAACAACAAGACGTACAGCCGAGCTGCATGCATGCACTGACCGGCCTTCGGAAAGAGTGGCAGTGGCTAATTTGCACACGAAGCGTCGTCCACGTGCAATCCATTGTTCGTCGGCTTCTTCTTCGCACGCGTCCTGCCCCAGTCGAACCCACGGAACCAGCTTTCGCTGCACCCATACGTACCGCACTCGTGCGGTAGAGAGCGTATGCAGAATCACGTGTCTGTTGTAACGGGGCCACTCGAGCTTCTCAAATGGCAGTCACCCTACCGGGTCTCTCACGTGTTTCCACGCGCAGCGGCTCTGCGAATAGGGTGTGGAGTTTCCATTCGCTTCTTATAACACACAGGGCACGACGTTCCTACCCATTCCTTCTAGTCAAGCTCAGTGCTTCTCGATGCATCTTGAATACATCAAACAAGTACGAACATTAGCGTATACTGGGCACTGTATCGTCTCTATGTGGGCACGCAGGCGTCTGAGACAGATCCATAAGTCCACGTGATGCGCGTTCTTCTGTGCAATGCCAGCACCACCACTGACCTTTCGCGGCAGCAATATTACCTTGCCAGTTACGCAGAATTACTTCCGCAATCTATTAAGAACTGCCCTTGTTAGCAGCAAGTGATACCTGTTGTTGCTTTTATTGCTTTTGTATTGTTTTGTTACTGCACAATACAGGCTTCTAAAAGCACTCATGTTCGGGTATATCACCCTAGATATTCATCGGAGAATAATTTTTTTATGAATTCCGCTCAGTTTGCAGGAGGCAAGAAAAATAAGATAGTAAGTACGTGCTCTGAAACTTAGCTTCTTTTTGTTGGCTTTGGTTATTGCTTGCCAGCAGTTTGCTACACAGACGAGCTAGCATGTTATATACCCAGATTTGACGCCGGTGGCGGCTGTGGGTCCCATCCAGCGTCGCAAGGAGCCATGTTAGTGAGCCAGCGTACCTAGCCATCTATGAGGCGTAAGCTTTATTCTTGCAGTACAAACATGGCCCGCAGTGAGTACAAGCGTACATCAGTCGGCGAAAGCTGGAACTGGGTTTCTGTGCATGTTCGTAATCGTCCCATGCACACGCGCGTGGCTGTGTGTATTCGTGTGCGCGCGTGTATGTGCATGTGTGCCTCAGGTTTATGTAGTACTTATGTATGAGAGACAAATAGATTAGTTAAACGTAAAGAGAGCGAGAGATACTTTATAGGATACGGATAACTGTATATTACTGACGAATAACAGTTTAATTAGGACACATGCCTACGCAAAGGAAAATGAACAGGTAAGGAAAATATTCCTCGAGGAGACTTGAAACGAACCGCTTACTGGCACCAGATGATTCTTCCTCCCGAGTGGTCCTCGTCGTTTTCTGCTGTTTTGATTGTCAGGAACCGGGTAGTTGTCACACGTAACACAATCTTTTCAGATTACCCGAGCACTCGTTTAGGCAGAGTGTTCCTAAGAAGGCAGACGCTTTTCCTGAAATAGACTTTTTAACAATGCCGGGAGTACCCGATACATACATATCCGCTACGTCGTGTGCTTTGGCAAGGCTACGCGAGCTGTCTCGGGCGATATGATGGATGGCGTTTCGAGGTCTCTATCTCGAGGGCTACTACGTGCGCGTACTGTGGAGCCGCCGTGCGCCTACAGGGACCCCCGCCCTCACCGTTTACATGCTACAAAAAGCACAGCGTGCCAACCGTGCAGCAACGAACACACAATGTTTTTCGAAGCCCTAGCGCTCCCCTCGTGGTGTGCACTGGCGGGCAGGAGGGGGGGGGGGGGGTGTCTGTAGGCGTAGCCATGTGCGCTTATTCCAGTGAGCCGTAATAGCGAATGGCCTCTCTCTGTGCCAAATACTTATACGTATATCTTTCATTCTTTGTTGAAAGCGTAAGGCGGAGACCACTTTGCATCGCACAGACACGTGCCTTATTGTCTGCGCGTCATCATCCACCCGCTATCGATAATAAACGCGAAGGGGTACTTCTCACGGTTCTTTACTTTGTTCACTGCCGAGTTTGTGGCGGAGGTTTTTCGATGGTAGATTCGGTAGAGCTCAGTGAAAGCACCCGATCAGTTACAGTAGCACCTACTGAGGTACACAGCGTGAGCCAGGCCGTCGGTCTCGATCCTGTATCGTGATAAAATATTCGAGAGGGTGGAGCAGGTTGTCCTCTGAAGACTCCTGTAGGGCGTGATAGTCACACCGGCAAAAGTAAGACGCGCATACCGTGACCTACTGGCTATTTGCGCCTGCAACGATTGCCCACTATAAGTGCTCACGGGTATGCGCAGGGGCAAATGCTTTTTAAGCGAATGTAGAGCTGCTGCTCCAGGTTCGTCAACCAGCTCAGCTTAGAGGCCCGCGACATGTGAGCGGTGGAGTCTGTGAAGGCTCTAAAGCCGAGGTCAATCATTGTTCTTGTATTTAGGTCGAATCAGAATTTGTATTGCTGAGAGCACTGTTAGCAAGCGCTTCCGCAATCGATGAAGCAGCCGGAACCAAACGAAGCATCCCTTTATATTGGTCTCGTCAAGCTACTTATGTAGCTTTTAACCCAACGCAACCATCGAGTATGTATAAACTGGAAAATAAAATTGAATTGAATATATGGGCTGGCTGCGTCGTATTTTGAACTAATCAATAAAGTCAAAAGAGTTGAATGTTGGGCGAGTTGGTGCTTCGACATAGAAACCATCGTGAGGACGCAACTAAACACAATACACAGGCAGAAACAGATGAGCACCGGCGCAAACTACGAACTGTGTGTTTAGTTGCGCCCTCACGATCATTTCTATATAATCAAGAAAGGTTGCCTTGAACGCGTCGACTACATAAGGTTAAAGAAGAAGGTCTATTTGGGTTAGTTGGGAATTCATGGTAATAAGGTGCTGCAGCGCGAGCACGAAGGTGCGAGAAGAAACAGACGAAAGGCGAGGCAAGGAAAACTAAAACCGCGCTCGTGTTGTCCTCTTTGCTTTCCTTGCCTCGCCTTTTGTCTGTTTCTTCTAGCAGCTTCGTGCTAGCGCGGCAGCCCTTATTACCATGAATTACATAAGGTTAGAGGCAAATTTAATTTTTGGGGGGGAGTTTGAGAACTACACTGAAGTACTTTCTAATTGTGGTCAATAATTCAGCTGTTACCCATAATTCCGGGCCCTTTATGTTAATAATGTGCTGGCCATCCTTACAAGAAAGCTTTACTGTTTTAATCTCTCAAAACTTTGTTTACTTTGCCTCTATCTCTGCGTCTGTCTCCCCATTTCGGATATGTTTAAGAAATGTTGTAGCACTTTCAAATTGTTATTGGAGTTTCAATTTCATGCGTAATAGCACGTACAAAGGGCAGTGCAGGCGGTGCGACCACAGAATGGATCACACAGGCAGTGCCTGTGAAAACCTGATTTAGCCAAGCTGCTTCAGAAACGCAGGTAAGTGCTTGTAAAATGAAGTATTTGTTGGTGTTTTGAATATAAAACTAATCAGCCCTAATCATGCATACGCGGTGAGGCCAATGGTAATGGGTAGATGAAGAAATCAAGACAAGCACGAATCAAATTTACCACCTATGCGTTGGAGTCCTTAACAGTAAAAACGCTTATCGCTTTGATCGAAGACTGCATCTCTGCCGCAAATATATGATGTATACAATGTACATTTGTGGCCATGCACAATTTTCTTCCAACGTTCGTCATGCATTTATGTCCGGAAAACAGAGCAATGAATTCAATTTCTTTAGTTTTCTCTACACCTGTGTCTTCTTCACATACAGTTCTACCCTCATCCGTAGCGCTTGGAGTATCCACAAGGCCTCGCTGATGAACGGCTGCTAATCATGTCGCTATAATACGGTTCAGTTTAATCGGTTACACAAACACGACTGGCTTTACCGGCAGCGCAAGCGACATTTCGACATGCATAGTCGCGCTCAATATGAGTAGAAACACGCTGGCTGTGGGTAAAGGGACCCCAAGCTAGAGCGCTGCATGGACCCAGGCCGGCCCAAGAGCCGCACCGTGCCTGCTAAGGCATTGTTTGGATCGGGCCCGGGCTGGATTCAGGCCCATGACCATCGGGCTCGGGTCAGGTCTGCGCCTGAGTCAGGCCCGTATTAGGCCTTTGTCTCATATACAGCGTGTTTCAGAAAACGTGTCCTATATTAATTAAATATTACATAAAGGAGGCGTCTGAATTGTACCTGTGTGTCTCTTTCCCTTTGGCAGAAGGAATCTTCAGACGTGTACGAACATTATTACTACAATTTAAGAAATTAAAAGAGTAAACTTTTTACACAATTTAAAACAATTACATATTCTTTTGGGCATTTTTGAAGCGAACGATAGATGCCCTGTTCGGTGAATCAATTTCGGTTTTACCAGCTAAGTTAGCCAGATTTCATCGCTCCGCGGTAATTACCAGAGACCGCTTTTCCAAACTTTCCAATTGGCTATAGAGTATTCATAGGAAAAAATTGAATTCACTGCTTTGAGTAGCCCGGCCATTTAAAGTAGTTAAAATTGTTTTTTTTCTTATTTCCATTTTTAGTGCAAAAAATAGTGTTTTTTTTTACAGCTGAATATGCCTCTGCCAAAGTAAATAAAACGCCGCAGGTAGCAAGGAGATGCTCTTCTCGGTTTTTTTTTAATATATTGGACTCATTTCTTGAAACACCGTGTTTATCGATCTAATTGCATGTTTACGCTGTTCAGTTGTGTTGTTTTGTAGGGTTTAAGATCCCGAAGCAACCAAAGTTACCTAATAGGCTGTAGTTAAGGGCTTCGACTAAGTTAGACTACCTGAAATTCATTAGCATGCACTGAAAATGGAATTTCCAACACGTGTAGCATTTTGCACTGTCGATACACGTCTTTCAAGGAACTTGTACTTTACTTATATTATGTGATTTTTAAAGAATAAAAAAGATGAAAGCGAGCCCCGTAACTGTCTGCATCAGAGTGCGACACCTCAACAGTAGCTCACGAGGAAGGGGGGTAAGAAGGGCTTAGAAGGATAGGTTTAAAGATAAATAGATAGAGAAAGGAAGGAGAGATCGAGGCGCAGGGTCAGCGAATGACGGAAGTAAAGAGGAGATAGGAAAGATGGACATGGTCGCAGGAGTCCGAGGACGGGGCATCACTCAGCGAGAACTCATGTCGGCGGCAGGAGATGGCGAAGGGAGGGCCCAGTCGGCCAGAGCTGCGCTGTCGTCGGAGATCGCGGGAACGCAACTGGTCGGCACGAAATCCAGAGAGCGAGTCGAAACTCGTAATCTAAGTTTCCTTCATTGAATTGATTGAAAGGTGTTCTTGCATGCCCTAAGGAAAGGTTTGCCAGGTAGTACTGCAGCAACAGTACCGGTACACTACTAACCTTTTTATAGTGTATATAAAATGTATGTAGAGAAAATTTTCAAGTCCGCCGATACAGTCAAACGCCTTTTTTCGCCTGCGTGTTCCGTAAACTCGTCAACGTAACTCGTGAGTCATCAATATCCCTGGAGCTGTTGTTGAAACACTTTAAGTGCGAGGTGTCAAGTGACTCTTATGACAGGCAAAGAATGCAAATCTTGCCGATTTTTCGTGCTAGCAATACAGTTGAAAATAAGTAGCAATGGGAAATTAGCCAAACTCTTCAGCATTTAACTTCAATGTCTTTCTTCAGCATTTAACTTGATTGTCTATCTTATAGAACAAACGCTTGGCCATTTTTACGTGCACCTTCGTGCTTATTTTGTATTTCGACTCTAATCCATAAGCGTTGTCGTTTGCCGATGTGCAAGTGCTCTCAGGGCAGTCAAAAACATTGAAGCACCCGCGTGGACCCGCAGGGCGCGCGTTCGAATCCCGGCTGCGGCGGCTGCATTTCCGATGGAGGCGGAAATGTTGTAGGCCCGTGTGCTCAGATTTGGGTGCACGTTAAAGAACCCCAGGTGGTCGAAATTTCCGGAGCCCTCCACTACGGCGTCTCTCATAATCATGTAGTGGTTTTGGGACGTTAAACCCCACATATCAATCAATCAACCCGCGTGGACGAAGTAAAAACTCAATGTATGGAAGGTCGTGATTATGATATTGATTTGCTGTTGTACCTTCGAAACAGAGGGCCGGAGGAGGTTGTATAGGTGCGTGCTTATTGACACTTTCTACCACATAAATGTCTGACGGCTACTGCAGCACCCCGAAGTTCCGGCATTGTTCATCTCTTCAGACTGCTACCCCCATTTCTCCCATTTTGTTTTGGACATAACGAATAAGTAACACATATTGTGAAATCACGCGAAGTGACGTCAGTGGGCAGCGAGAGAGCATGCGCCAGTTTTGTGCCTGTTTACTGTTATCACCAAGTCTGCCGATACCTATCACTACCTTAGCTATATATAAGCAGTGTCCTTTTTATAAAACTATGGACGATCACCACGAAGGGAGCCCTGATAGGGTGCAAAGCAGCAGCGGTGCGCATGGCGTTGACACGGTTGAAACCAATGCCACCTAAATAATTTGAGGCCTTGTCACTCTTTCGGCCACGGGCTCTGACGTAACTCCGTTTAGACCGCCGTGTTCCATTGTACAGACGTGGGTACGCTTGCTCTCGTTGTTCGAGAGACATGGAGAGCCCCGCCTGAGGAACGTATTTGGGGCGTGCTGGTGTGCTTGTTGGCGACTCGCGAAGACCGTCTTTTTCTGTGTCCGTGAACAGCAGCGTGAATATGTGATGCACTTTGTGCATTGGATATTCGCGATGTGCACGGCTGCAAATCCGAACGGTTGGGCGATGCTGCGTGGCGAATCGTCGCGGAAAATGGACCGAAGTTGCGAGTGTTCTAGTTTTCTAAGGACGACCGAAGAGCGAAATGGGAGCGTGCCGTTCGTCGAGCTGACGTCGACATTCATTTTCTTCGTGGTCCGAAGGTACGTGTGCCCGTGCTACATATTTCGAAGTTGCTCTAATGGCACCAACTCCAACATGTTTCTTGCTCTAAAGTAAAGGTGTCGTGTGTGCTTGTGACTTGTTACCGCAAGCTCTGGCATGAAAGTAAGAAACGCGCGTGGCAGTACAGCCGGGGCGCGAGCGGCCGACCTTGCTCTGCGGCGCGACACCTTGTAGCCGTTGTGGATTGTTACGTCGTGTGAACCAGAGCATGCGCGGCCTTGCATAAATGCAGGCGTGCTCTGCACGTGTGCCAATGTTGGAAGGTGTGCTTGTTTAGCCGAAGATCTGTGCTACTTCAGGTTGCTTTTGTCGCATCCATTTCATAAGACGAAACGTGTTTCAGCTGATAAAATTCGTCTGCAACAACAATCAACGCTTTGCGGCTGTTTTGAGGAATGCGATTTTAGGAAGATAAATTAATTCTAACAGCCACGTGAAAGAACACTCTAGACTGCCACAAAATGAAACCAGCTACAAACAGTGCGTCCTTTATGATGGCGTGAGTTATCAGTCGAAACACGCTTCGTCTTATCAAATAGATATGACGAAAGCACTCTGAGCGAGCGTGGATCTTCGGTTAATTAAGCATACCTTCCAACGTTGCCACCCGTGCAGAGCAGGCCTGCTTGTTTGCAAGGCCGCGCATGCTCCTGTGCACGCGACCACACAACATGCAACGGTCGCAGGGCGTTGCGCCGCAGAACAAGGCCCGGCTGCTCGTGGGCTTTACGCAGACGTTACCGCGGCTGTACATATTCAGAACAGACGTTTTTTCTTCAGCGTCGGTAAACATTTCGCCATTGGCGATTGGCACCGCGGACTTCTTGCGTTACGTCCATTTACTTGGTCGAGAAAAAAGCAAAAATGCTGTAGCATTGCTTAGTGCATCGGTTTTGTTCATAGTATTTTTTATCACCGGTGCTCCAACCACTTATTGCGGTATTATAATTTTCCACAAGTCTCGTGAGCACCTGCGCCTGATTTTTTTTTTTTGAAATTCAAATGCCTGTAGACATGCACTTACGGTGAAGCGCTTTCTTATAGTGTGAGCTCTACTTCCAGCTAGAATACTTGAGAACCGCTACTAAATATTCCGAGCAAAGTATGGGCAGTGCAGTAAAAGTGCCCATGAGGGCTACAGTTTATTCTAGGTCCAATACTAATATTTTTTTTCGAGGCCTTGTTTTAGGGGTGACTACACAACAGTGCGACAGGGGCCAGAGCAAAAAAAGAAACGCCGCTCCTTGTGTTGGTCACAACATCCCGGCGGTGGCGGCTGCATTTCCGATGGAGGCGGAAATGTTGTAGGCCCGTGTGCTGAGATTTGGGTGCACGTTAAAGGACCCCAGGTGGTCGAAATTTCCGGAGCCCTCCACTACGGCGTCTCTCATTACGGACGTTAAACCCCACATATCGATCAAATCGATCATGTGTTGGTCACAAGAGATTTTTGCGAAACGAGAGATTTGGGTTTTTTTGCAATGTTAATCACCCTGAAATTGTTCTGAATTACATAACTGACGCTGCAGCCAACACACTCCTCAATAACTGCGTGTATATTAAGGGATGTTTGAAAGAGTACAAATAAAACTGCAGAAACTTTGCAAATAAGTAGCAACAGTTTTCAGCATGTTCTAGATAGTGTGTGTGTGTGTGTCTGTGTAATTTACAGGAGCGACATTTGATAGCCCCACAAACTGACGAAATAATTGATTGATATGTGGGGTTTGACGTCCCAAAACCACTACATGATTATGAGAGACGCCGTAGTGGAGGGCTCCGGAAATTTCGACCGGCTGGGGTTCTTTAACGTGCACCCAAATCTGAGCACACGGGCCTACAACATTTCCGCCTCCATCGGAAATGCAGCCGTTGCAGCCAGGATTCGATCCCGCGACCTGAGGGTCAGCAGCCGAGTATCTTAGCCACTAGACCACCGCGGCGGGGCAATCTGCGTGAAGTATGGTGCGCATCCACAAGCTGTAAAATGCGCGCTTGGATGCGCACCGTCCCTATTTTTTCACCGTGATAGCGTGTTTCCTCGTTCGATCATTGACACAGCGACCAGTGTGGCCAGCATAGCTATTCTTGTCTGATAGTGGAATTACATAAACCACTCCAGTGGCGCACTTCGTGAAAGGCCGCGCGTGCT